TGCCCTGTGGATTATCCTGCCTTCCTTCGTCTGTTTGGATCTGATCTCCGGCCAGTTCTGCAGCCTATTAGGCTTCCACGTCTGGAACTCGCAGCATCTTTTCACCTGACCGGCTCAAATCGTCCTTGCTCTCTAGACACCGACTAAATTTCAAACCAGGTTAGTGACTCACGCGTTCATAACCATCCTCTGTCATATTATCAGTATCACTAACCTGTGTTTCTTTCACCAGAGTTTTCTGCCATAGACACCCTAGGCCTGTGGATTAGCTGCTGCAGATCCACAAACGATAATTGTTTCAATAAACACTTTTGAAGTTATTCCACTGACTGTCTTGCCTGATTACTGGGTCCCTCTGTTCTGAGTCATTACATTATTTTCCTGATACGTATGCTTCATTTTTCCAACTGTGAACATAGAGCTGATGTGTCTTGGAAAAAGTAGTCAATTCTGGGTGAACCGACAGAATTACCAAAGATCCCTGTATAGGTGTCAATGTCTACAAAAGAACTGTGCTAGAGCCTAATTGCCTACCTATTTAAACCTGTCTTGTGGACATGATATAAGAGATAATTATTGATATGAACTAATATTGACAATTAGCTATTTTTTTTATTTGTTTAAAATGAAATAAAGGTAAAGAGCTTTAATTTAAGTTGAAACCCTAACACTATTTAAACATAAGGTATAATAACTAGGCCATCCTTACTATTAATCTTGCATAGCTTGGCCTTGAGAGGTTGAAAAGCTAAATCATTTACTCTGTCTATATTCCCCTTAATGCCACGTGGTTCTGGACCAGAGTTCACTTAAATTAGACAGATTTATACCTGACATATCTTCTATTAATATAGATCAGGTGCATATTGTGATATATATTGATATATTGTTATTACTGAGCCCTGGTGAATCCCAGTAAGTCCTTTTTGCAATCACATAACAGCAGCAGAAAAGGCAAAATGGGAACAGTGGAAAACAGAAGATGTTGTTGACTTTTTTCATTTGAGAACAAATTGTCCTGCAGGGAAGTGGGCATGGTGTATTTTTGAAGTGAGAAGGGGTTGGGGGTAATAAACAATACAGGAGCAGAGAGGGTCAAACAACAGATTCATCAGTTGTTTTCCTGCTGTCACTGCATTTTCTGCCTCTCTCTTATTTCAAACAATCAATGTTCTAGGAAATAAAAGCTAAACTGTCAACACCATCATAACAACATCAGATGATGTTAAAGATCAAAGGTGAGGCTGGGGGGACACTTTTGGAAAGAAGAAGCGTCATGTCAGGACCGTCTGACTCAGGATTCTAGTCGGGAAACAAGCGTCAGTCGGATCTGTCTGTACAGACGGCCATTTCACAGGAAGTAGCTGCCATATATGGGTGTCTATTGTGTCTCCAGCCACATGCTCCAAGTGTGCCGCGTTTCCATAGCAACCAAGAGAAGTCTCCCCCCCACCAGACATGACTTTTTGTGTTTTTTCTTTCTCTCCATCACTCTATTTCTCTCTTACACACATACACACACTTATGTACACCTTGGTTGCAGATGTGATGCTGAGAACCAGATCAGAGAGGGTATGACTCACCCTCATAACCTTTTCTCCAAAGTTCTCAGTCTGGCAGCACCCAAAAGCTTCCTTATCCATAAAAGCACCTGTCTCTCTGTACATTCTCACTTAGTTTTTCAGATCTTCATTCTCCAGTCATCATCTTTGTGAAAAATGAAACAGATTTTGTGCATGTTTATGTCCTCAAAAGGCAGGTGAAACAAATCCTTTCTGTAGGATTTCTGGGCATTGCATCACCCTACTGAATCATCCCAGACCCAGTAGGTCTCTGAACAGTCACTAACTTCTTAATTACAGCAGAAATTAAAAAGTTAAGTGGGTTGTTGCATAACTAGGCAATACCGGCCACAGCTCACGTTGTGCAATCAGGCATAGAATGAATTTATATTTGCTAAATCTGGAAACTAATCACCAAGTCCTCAGACTTATTAAGCCAGACTAAATGTCTGGCACACAACAATGCAATGTTGCATCAGGGAGACTGCATTCATTTAATGGAATTAATATTCATTTGTTTGGATGTCTGTTTCCTCTGAAAGAGTTTTCTATGTGTCCTCTCAGGCACAAACAAACTAAGCACAGTGCTTGTGCATGCTCTTAATTTTTCATCAGTCTTCGTTATTATGTCAGGTGAGGAGCAGCTTGTGTGGAGCTGCAGAATTGAGTCACCAGTCCTCTCATCTTTCCTCTCTCTCCCTCTCTCTTTTGTTACCTCTCTCTGGTTGAATTTTCCTCCCCTCCAAGGTGAAATCAGCTGGATCTCATCTCATTTGAATTTTGCATACACAGAGACACAGCGCACATGTATGTCAACACAGCCAGACAGTCTGCAGAGCTCAGATCTCATTACAGAGTTGATTCACAGTATGCTGCGACACAGACGGAAGTAATGGGCTGAAAACATGAGGAAAAAAAAGATGAGGAAGTTTTTAAACACAAAATACCCCAGATGATTTCAGTTTATATTCTGTTGATATAAATACAGGCAAAAAGGTTTAAAAGACTAAATAAATCCCATATAAATCATTTTATTTGTGCCATACGATATTCTGTTTATGTCACAACCACACACTTTGAATTCAATGTAATACACAAACACAAAGTAATGCATGATTGCAAAGCCAAACGAAAATGTTGTATTGCCTTCTAACACAATAGTATGCTCTGATCTGGACCTTTCCATGTTTGGTTGTGCTTTATTTTGGAAGGTGACTCTCTGTTCCAAACTTAGATAAACAGTTTTTTGTTTTTTTTTAGAACTGTTTGCATCTGTCTTCCCATTCACACTAGGCTGTCTTATCCCTGCTGAAGAAAAGCATCTGGATAGCATCATGCAGACAAAAATATATCTCACAGTGGGGTTTGTGAGTTCAGGATGAAGTGTAGGGTTTGTTTTCTATAGACATGGCATGGTTTCTGTTGTGCTTGATGTGTCAACAACAGGACAAGTGATATACTGCAAATTGGGCTTATTTCAGTTTTCTTACAAGCATGGCTCCTTTTTACTAGGGCTGGACAATTAATTACATTTGCAAAATAAGCGCAATTTAACAGAATGCAATTTTGTTAATCGCAGAGGCATTTAACAAGAGTAAGTAAACTTTTCACTCCAGCCCTTTAGGTGTCAGGAATATGCATAAAGTGAGATTGTGCATGCAGGCAGGAAGAGAGAGTTGTGCATAACACAGAGATTGAGTTTAAATTCAGTGGCTGTATCCTCCAAAGGCCAGATTCGTCAGCCAATTACGCCATAGCGCGGCGCCGAGGCCTGTTCGGAGTGGGAGACTCCTCACTATGCGGCCAAAATATACAGCCTTCGTTTTGTCCATTTTGAAAGACAGGTTTGGTGTATCCTACGTAGCCTTGGAGATCCCATGATTCATTGCGATTCAAAGCAAGCTACCGGCTCTGTGCTCAGAGGGAGAAGGTAAATGGCGGCTAACAGTAGGGAATATTGCAAGTGCAGTTTAATATAAGTGAGTCCGATATGTGACGGATAAAATTTGGTTTCAGATTCAGCTAAATGCCGAAAAAAACACCTGAGAAAAAGAAAAGAATAATAATAAAAAAAAAAGCTAAATGTTGAAAACACTGTAAATCATATCATAGTCATCAAACTGCCCATATCAATGTTTTTTTTGCACCATTTTTTTCTCCCAATGCTTACATTTTTTCACTGCTGCACTTTAAGAAAATGGAAATCTCACGATGGCTGTGCAAAAAGAAATATTATTTTGTATACACCTTTGTATAAACTCTGTGCATACAAAATGACATTAAAATTTGTCTAAGTCTAAGTCTTAGTGGTTAATGAAAAGGTTTTATCTGTCTTTTTGCAAATGGGTTCCACTGGTATTTAAGCACAGATTCAAATATCTTTGCAGTGTGGGGACTATAAATCTGATATTCACAATGACAGTACTGCTGCTGAAGCTCCTCAAAAATAATATTAGCACCTGGAACAGTACTGAGAAGTTTGGTATCCATTTTTTGCCTGCTTTGTGTGTCAATTGTTACAGTTGCTAGGCCACAGAGTGTATGGGCGTTGGAAGCCGGAGAAGGCTTGACCTGTTTGAATCCATAGCCAAAACTCCTCCGGCCTCCTTATTTTCCCAGTCCAGGTAGATGGGTCCTTTGAGGATGCAGCCTCTGAACACACCCAGATTCATATATGCTAGTAGAATTTAGCACTTCAACACAAAGATTACAGTTGAGTCCTACAGCGCTGGACTCTGGAGAAGCAAGCTTTCAAGGTCATAAAAAACCTAAACCTTAGAGTGAAACATCTGCAAATTTGTTGTTAGTGCAAAGGAAAGTATAAATAAGATTGCAATACTCACAATTTTCATTTTTGGCAAAATAATTGAGCGCTACTTCTTACCACCCTTATATAATCTGTTGTGTCTGTTCCAACTTATCCGTTCAGCTGCTTTCTCTACATGAGCGAGGGACCTTTGCAGCTCCTCTAGAGTTAGCATAGGTCACCAAACCACTCCTCTGTTTATGTTGATAAATTTCCCTCTTGCAACCACTGTAGGTGTAGGCAGCAGCATCTTTAATGGCTTGCAGCTAGAATATGAAACTATGATAGAATATGAAACTAGTTCATAGCTATGTTTTTTATTTATTTTATATGTTATGAGACATGGCACTTAAGTTTTGTATTTTCATAATTTTGTGGTTTTTACCTACTTTTGGCTTTTCGTGTGATAGTGGAGGTTCTGTTCTCAGTTTAGGTTTTAAATAGTGTTCTCCCTTGAAAGAATTAAGCTCTACGATTCCATTAACATTCCAATTTGATCAAATTTTGTGATGTTTGTGCTTCTACTGTAACAAAATGTGAAGAAGTTTAAGACGACTTAATGCTTTTGCAAGTCACTGTATATTGCAATTGCTTTATCAAAAAAGGAAATAAAAAAAAGAGGAATGCTTTACCAGATGCTGGCGACTTGCTGCGTTGTGATTGGATGCCAGTCCTGGGGGAGCATCTGTTGAGAGAGCCTGACATCCTGCCATAGGTCACTGATTTCATCATGCGGCACTCTGCAGGCGCAAAGAGCATAAGAACAAGTTCAAAGACAAATTTGTAAGCACAAACTCCCTAAGTTTGATCTATGGTTCTACACATATAATCTAAATGAAAAAAAAAATAAACTAATGACTGTTTACCTATCAAGGATTGATATTCAAAACTTTAAATTTAGGGAAGCATTGCCAATAGAAAAAGTCAAACTATGTACTGAGCTATAATTGGGTTTAGCTTCAGATCCCCAGGAAAAATAAGTCCTGACCTTCACTGTAATCGCTTTCCAAACACAATTATTGCAGAAATTTCAAGAGTGACAGCTGTGACTCATGGGGAACTAATACTTTGCAGACACACTCTCCAAATAAATGAGCCATGAGGACCCTAGCACCCAACCTGCCTGCCTCCTTCTCCTATAAAACTTTCCTCATCTCCTGTTCATTAACTCAGCCCCATTAAAGCTCATTAACATTTCAGACAAGTGGGAAAGGAAGGAATATGCAGCCTGCCAGGCATGCCTGGCCTCATCCACCTCATCTGCGTGTCTGTCTGTCTGTTTGTGTGGCATTTTCTGCGGCCGAGTGATTAATGTACAATGCAGAGTGTTAACATGATGACTGTGTGCCAGAGCTGAGGCAGAGGTAATAATTATAGCAACACTGAAAGGAGGCAAAGTCTTCTGCAGCTGAAATTCCAACTGTCTTGCTGTTTACTTTGTCACTCTGTGTTCCTGTCTGTTCCTACATGTGTTTTGCTGTCTGCCAGTGGATGATGCTGGATGCTGTCTTGGATGGATGGATGCTGTCTTCCACAAATGGATAGCTAATGTTTGTCAAAATAAAATGATAAAATGCAAACCTTTTTTTTTTTGCTATGGTAATTCCATTTATCACCTCAAACACTACATTTTAACAAAATATTCTAAGAAAGAGAGAGAAGTAGGTAGCTTTTTCTTTCCTTGATTTTCAAACATTCAAGTTATAATCCTCACAAAATCAGAGGCTTCATTGTTATTCAGCTCATGATCAGGTATTTATGTAATTTAAAGACTCCTTTAAGGTAATCAAATAAGCATTGTCAATGCATCCTTTGACATTTAACAAAATGTAATAGTGTTTCTGAAGGATCTTTAGCAGAGCAAACATTAAATAAAAAGCAAAATCAGAAATAGTTTAACAAGGTAAATGCAATAATGCAAAGAGCTTTGCTATTTTTAAGTGTCTCTACAATATTTTAATAAGGTATCTATTATGTTACAGATATGGAGATAGACATTGTAAATGGGAGAAGCTTGGCCACTCACTATAATGGGGAAGACAAAAGAACATGCCATTTTAGTAATTTAAATGCATGTTAATTTTTTATACATCAGGAGAAGACTGCAAGAAAAGAGTCACTGCTTTATAATTGTCATAATCCATACGACAGTGAGCAGGGAGGAACATACATATCGAATATTGCATCTGCAAGAGCTTTTCTTACCCCATAATTCCCTTGAACTGTTCTACAGTGGTCCTTTAGACTGGTCATCTGTGCATGACATGAGATGTTTGTGCATAGCTGAGTCTTCAAATTATGAAAGCTCAATACTTAAATAGAGATACCTCAGACACCAGGCTCTAATATGGATTTTTCAATTCAAATTTCGACAGTTTTGATAATACAGTCATTTGAGGTAATGCATGTTGACAAGAAAATAGACTAAATTCATGCGTTCGATGGGAATTACTTTTTCTCCTTCCAACCACAGTATGGTGTGCTGCTCAAACAAACAGGAGCAGATCATAAAAGAAGTCTATGAGTTATTTCAGTCCAACAAATAGCCAAAATGTTATCTGTGATGTTTGTGGGAAAACAGAAAGAAGTTGTTGCTACACGACAACCTCGTCACACGCTGCAGGTTAAACCACAACACAGAATATGCAGAATTGATGTCAAGGACAGAGGAGGAAGAGCAGAGGCAGGAATCATGAAGTCACAGAGTGAGGATATGTGGAGCTTTAAATGGCACTAGGCACTGCTGGAGTGGAAGCTGCTCATATGGTTATTAAAAAAGTCACAGAAAAAATACTTGCTTTCTACAAATACCTGCATTAATTTAGATTTCTACACAGGCAGACATGTTGAAATGTTTTCATAAAAACTGCTTATGAAAAGTATGTTTTACTATTTACAATCTGTCTAGTTAGCTATAACTGTTCAATTAATATTCAAAACACTGATGTTGACAATTTTAGTGCAATTGTGGCATTTCTGTATTCAACTAAATATTTTTAAAGATTAGAGCCATCCAGTATTATACAGCAGTGGTTTTCAATCATGGGGCTCACTTTTTCTGTTTTAGATGTTTCTGCTCCTGCAGATCATTTTATTCCTCCTCAGCAGCAACAAAAGGATCAAGAGGCCTGTTAATTACACATTTATAAACGAAGGGAGAAACAGAAACATGCTGGACATGAGGAGCCAGTTTAAAAACCACTGTTATAGACCAGTTATATTATTTTGTACAGCTAAGAAACATATTAGTTGTATTGCAAAAAAAATATTGTGTCAGCATTGCCAATACCATACTGTATTTTCTTCAGTATTGGACAGTGGTTGAAAGTAGCCAAGTAAATTTACTTGATTACTGTATTTAAATACTTTCTTGCAGTTTCTTTACTTGAGTAATTTTTTTCAGGGGAATACTTATAACTTCCACTACATTTCAAATCAAATATTTTACTTTCTACTCCAATACATTTCCAGGAAGCTGCTAGTTCCTTCTTTTTGGCTCACCTTAGCTTTGTAATCCGCTTTTGCTGTTTTTCTTTCTTGAAACGTAATTTCAATATGCAAGATAGTAGCCCTTAGGACTGGATTTGAACACCACTATTTTAAAGATTTGCATGTTATTCTACAAATGTGCGAAACTCACAGCAGATATTATTTGCAGTTTTTTGTTTTTATCAAGTCGTGAGTTGTTGCCATGTGGCCAAGCTGTTCAGTAGTAAAAACTGAGGTGGGAGGTTAGGGAGGTGGGAACAACGGGGAGCATAAATCGCTACCATTATGGTTCAAAGCTATAGTTGTTTGTAACATGCTTCATAACCAACAAACAAAGGATGTCATTTTGTATTAAATTATTTTGACCAGAAATCGATCATAGCCTTTAGCGTGGTGTTTTGTGTAGGCAGAGAGATTACTGTGAGAATTTTTAACCAGCATTTTGAAATTCAGAATATTGTATAACAAAATTAGGCTCTTATTGTAAAGGTTTGCTGTCTGATCCTATAAAGTCAGGCATAAACTATTGTGTCAGTGTTTATCAGGAGTGTTGGTCTAGTGGCCTAGTGGTTTAAGCAGTGCACTTGTGCTCTGAGACGGTTGCAAGTACCCGGTTTGATCCCCTCCGCCTGCCCTTTTTGTGGCCTTTTTATGCTGAAGTTCTTTATAGGTGGTGTAAAATCTGTAGCAGGTGGTTCTATGCATCAATCCATCAGGTGGTTTCTGAATGTTAAAAGGTTCTTTAAAATTACTCTGACAGTTATACAGAAATGTTATGATATTAGAGCATTTTATTTGTATTTTTGAATTCTTAAATACTTTTAAATGCTTGTACTTTTAAATACTTAAGTTAACGTACTTCAATACTTTAACTTGAGTAGATGTTTGATTGAGTAACTTCACTTGTAGTTGAGTAAGATCTGACTATGCATATCACTACTTTTACTCAAGTACTACTGTTGAGTACTTCGTCCACCACTGGTATTCTATCATAAAGGAAGTTGGTGGTATTGAATATGTTTGGGAAGAGGATTAATGAGAGAGAATCTGCACATTTTTATATTAAAATGTAATTTAAGAAATTAGAAAATGCATCAAATGAGTCTGTTTATTTATGATTCAAAATAATTATTTTTACTGTCAGCGCTCAAAATCTCACTCTTAGATTAGATCAAATGTTGAAAGGTATTTGAAAAGAGAAATTATTACTTGACTGCTTTGCATTTTCTCAGTTTGTCTTTAAAGATAATATTATATTAAATAATATTATATGAAAATTGTGAAGCTTAGTGTTAATGAAGTGCAGGAGAGATGAACATTAAAAGTAGAAATGTCCACACCAAAACAATTATTTTGAAGAAGCCAGACATATATCTGTACATTAAGACAGATACTTTTTTTATTTTGGTTGACAAGCACATGTTCACATGTAAAACACTGACTCAAAAAGAATCATAGAACCCTATTATAAGGGAAGGGGTGTAGATGGTTGATCTACCTTCACCATTACTATTGTTGCCAGAATTGGACATTAAAATATTATCAGAAAGAAAACTACAACTGGACTGTTTACTAAGAGAACATCACTTATGAAAATAATCATCAGTAATTACTGTAAATGCAGACAAAGAAACACAGTCCTCCATGTCTGGCTGCATGTAGGTGGCTCCTTTGTGGTATTCCTCAAGAGAAGGAGGTCACCAAAGAAAGGATAGCTAATGTATTCAGGTAAGTATTATGTTTTGCAAATGTTAGATGAAAAACTGGTGAGGTGAGAAAGAAGGAAAAAATGGGTAGGGGTGAAGGTCGGGGACCCAGGTAGGATGGTTATTATTCTGTGAATAATGGGATACAAACAACACAAATGGACAGAAGAACATTTGAACAAAAGCCAACAAGGATTGACTCATGTGGGACAAAGGTGAGCACAGAGGAGGAAAGGAATATAGATGAGCAGTAAATGGCAGTGGCTAAGAGGCAGACAGCAGATCACAGATGGTTGAAGTGAGGACAGAGAGCATCCTCTGTGGGCTGTGGCTCTGGAAGATGGAACAATCTTGTAAGAAGTAAAACAAGAAAAGGAAGCAGGAGGAAGAATAAAAAAGAAGAATCCAGACACATTACAGCCTGGAATTTGTGTCTTTGTTAAGCTGAAGCACAAAGATTGCAGTCCTTTAGGCAATGAAGTGATTGTCAAACAAGATGGATTTTACATCTGGTTCATTAATCAGAGAAGTCACATCCCATTGTAAATGTTTGTATATAAGAAGGTTGTTTCGCATTATTGCTTGTGGCAATACATTCCCACAGAAAATGTTGGGAGTGTTAGATTGTACTAATCAGTTTATGCTTCTCCCTAATTATAGCTTGTTCTTCATTTAATTAGATCAACAGACCCTGAAAGGATTCAGATAACTGCTTTTTATGTGAGCTAGGTTGCCTTCCCTCTGGTTCCCACAGTGAATGGCTGATTCTAAAGTGAAGATGAACTTATACAATGGATGCTGGTAAGCGAGCAGCACCTCTGTTTGGCCTTTTAAAATGCAAAAAGGACATCTCAAAGGCTACGAATCAATATAGAGTTAAACTGAGAGTTATCATAAATTGCATAAGTGTCCATACATTCTGAAAATGTTTGCATTAATATGTATTTCAATGGGAGATTATGAGTTAGATCAAAACAGAGGGAGTGATGGATGGATGGATGGATGGATGGATGGATGGATGGATGGATGGATGGATGGATGGATGGATGGATGGATGGATGGATGACTCTATTTTTTAAGTGATAAAAATAGTAAAAATAAAAAATCTTATTTAAATCCTCATGACAAGCATTTAGTTATTATGTTGATCTGTCTCATAAGGTTAAAAAAAATGTGAAAACACCACTAATCCAAAGCCTGTTAGTAGAAATCTTGTTATAGAAAACAAACCCTGAGCAATGCAGACAGCCTTGCAATCCCTTTGATTCTTTTCTGGTACGATCTAATTCAAATAGAAGCGCAATAATTTATTGCTTCATAACTCATAAAAAGCATACCTGGAATATTAACCAGGTTGTACATTTGTAATGTTATTAACTACGACCAACACAACAAAGACACATATCGAGCACCTTTTTCCTTACCGCTCTCATCCAACATTAAGTCATCATGGTAGCGGAATTTCTCTGGTCCACAGGCCACAAACACATCCTCATCTCCGAAGAAGTCCTGCAGACATGCCACCTACAAATTAAATAGAAACATGTGAGATAAGTTAGAATTTTCTCAAACACTGTTTAGTCCAGAGCTCCATGCTTCACACATAAAATACTATATATTAAGATAAATAGTCAGACTACAAACACTAGACCAAAATAAAAAAAAACTTACTCTTGTCATCATATGATTAAAAAAAGCACTTTAAAGCAGTTTTTTTTCCCTGCAAGAGCATCACCTTCATCAATGTGCTTCCAGATCTTGTTAACCTCTCATTGTTAAAACATTTTTTTTCTCTAAATCAGTAAAGATAAAGTGGCTCTTGAACAATTAAATATCCCCATAGAACGCAACTTAGCATTGTATGAACATTTAAAAAGTCTGTTGTATATTGTTTATGTTGTTAAAGACTGTGTCTTTAAAAAATATGTTTTATTTTCTGTGCACTACATTGTCATTTGTTAAATTGTTCTTGTTTTGAATGGTCCTATATGTATCTGCTTTTTTTATTTGTCATTTTTTTACATTTACCTGCAATTTACATTGACCTGCAATGGTATCTTCGAATGTGCATTTGTTTGCATGTTAATTCATGTTCAATGTCCCATTTAAAAAAAGAAACATGCAGAATTTAGAACAGCAGCTATCAGCTGTTACAGTTGTTCATGCAAGAAATAATAAAAAAAAAAGACTGACAGATATTTTCTACAAAGTTTAATAAATCCTAAAATAGATGCTTCTCAGTAACACTTTCTAAATTCCTTTTTTAAACAATAACAAAATGTCTCTTTTTTTCTGTTAGAAAACAAAAGGAACCAAGCGTCAGTACATGGATAAAAATCCCTCTTGGTGTCCATTAATGCTTGTTGTTGGTGCATGGGGCAACGAATCTCAGAGCTGCAGCTCTTCACTCTTTATCAACCTATCAGTAAAATACGACCTTGCAAAGTTGCAAATTGCTGATAGGCAGCAGCTTGTAAACCAGACACCCTGAGATGCAGGTGGAGGGGGTCTCTTCTAAAAATACTTCTTACCGACAGAGATAAATAATCCATAAAGAAAACACTATTTAATGTGAGTAAACATGATGAATTTCCAGGCGAGAGGATATTAAGTTAATGAGATCATTGTCTCATAAGAAAATAGCCGAATTAGGCTACATCTGACTCACTGTAGAGTCACTGTCGCTCTTTGACAGACTCCATGCTGAGCACTTAATACCAGCTGAGGCAGCAGTTTAACCACATCTCAGGTACTGACTAAGGAAAGAAGGGTTTAATAATGTAGTATATGATGATCAAACATTGTTACACACAATACTCACAAACTGTTAAAAGAAAGTTTATTGGATCATAACAAGAGAGATTTTGTAGTTTTTAATTTCTAGACTCATTGTTATGCTGCAATCGAAAGGTTATAATGAAAGGAATCCATCTGTAAAGGGCTGTGGGGGGTGCCATGGGGTGGGGGTAAATCTGATCTATACTCTGAATGTAAACTGAAATAAGCTAATTACACACTACAGGTCAACCATTATGTTGGAGCCCCAATCCACCATTATTCTAATTTATATCTAATGCTTTAGTAACATTACAGTCGGAGACAAGCTTTATGAGATGGCAACAGTTCATTCACCGTGACAAATTTCTAACCACGAAACCTATTAAGAGCTATTACAGCTAAGGCTCTTTGGATTTGTAGCACCGCCTGGAGAAAACAAATAAACAAAAAACAACTGCTATTGCATTTTCAAAGCAATTAATATCCAGTAATCTATTTAGATTCCCATCAGCCTGCAAACTAATGCCCCCAAAGTCACAGCTTATATAATGACTTTAACAGCAAAGAATAAACGGGGAAAAAATTGATCCGTTTAGAGGGTGTTTGTAAATTTGAGGATAGGAAGTCGAGTTTGTCCTTTTTAACCCTGAACAAGCCATGGGTGAGACCAGAAAGGGAATTTAGATTACATTATATTATTGACATAAAGTGTCCACTGAGAATGGATCATTTCCAAATTTAATAGACTGTGGGTGTGTTGCTGAGTAGTTTCATACACACATCAACACACAAAATAAGGATGCCCGCTTCTGCACAGACAAATATGAAAGGAAATCATACTCCAGTTTCATAACAGATTGCATATTGCTTTGTTCCCTGATATCCCCAAACAGGGCTCTGATTATTTTAGGGGCGAGCATCTTCACTCCAAACAATATAACAAGGATACTGATACTGACAATGACGATAGTGATGTTTCACAAAAAGTTCTGCTAGTGATGAAAAACTTTTTTTAATTAAAATAATATTTTATCATTATTACATCATTGTTTAATGTTATTTTTTGAATAAAAGAATTTCTCAGTCCCAAAATATAGAATATGAAGAGCACAATGCCCATTAAATCATACGTGTTGTTCTTACAATCTATTTTATTTGCAAGAAGTTGAGGCATTCATTAACAACATAAACTCAGTAACAGAAACATCAGGTTCCCCAGAGAGGATGCTAAGAATAATATGTTGCTCTTTCTGGACTGTGCTGTGCACATTGAGCAAAATGTTTTACCAGAATCGCACAAATACACATCAATAACTGTATTCTAAATCATATTAACACAACAATGGAACATAACAAACAGTCAGTTAATATAATTCTGAGATATCGGGGGGATAACATTCCCTTTATCACAGAGGAGAAACACAGAAAGCACAAATACCAGGAAATCACTTCTAGTATGTGATTATCCAAACTGGGCATTTGTTAAGTCGCCTAACAAAGCATAAAAAACCCCAACACTGTCTAGCAGAGAGAAGAAAACAAATTAGTTTCTCCCGAAGACAGAACACCCAAGCTAAAGCTGAGCGGCACTGTGTATGTGTTGTGTGGTGAAGACTTCTCAGACTCCTTCATCCGAGAAACCAAATAACTACATAAATGCATGGCATACATAGCACAGGAGAGCCAGCAGCTCTTGGCAAGTTTCAGCGGTGCAGTTGCACTTCAAGAACAAACTACACACCTTTGATGACCAACATTTTCAGATCTTAGATAGAGAGCATGGATGGTTAAGAAAAAGGTAGCCATCTCCTAAAAGGAAAAAACCCAACACCAAATAGAGGATCGCGGATGATATTTGAAGTTTCCAAGCATCTACAACCCTAAGAAATAACACAATCTATCAAATCAAGATTCTGATGACCAAGTACACAACTAACAACAAACAATAGACTCCAACAACCCAGGACAGCAACAGATTGCTCACTGATCTGCTTTTGACTTGGAAAAACACCAAACTATAGTTTGCTCTAGTGCAAACCAACTGAACTGACAAAGACCCCTGGATACTTTGCAGAGAAACTGAGCAAGGTCTGGTTGCCTCCAATTAAGTCCTTTTTTGGTTGTCATGATCTTGATGACAGAGAACTTGTACAGGCAAAGTCAAAGATGTCTATCAGTCTTGCAAAGGGTGTAAAACTTTTCTTAGGGTGGAAGTCAAGCAGACCACAGAATCAAGCATTTGCAATGGGTAAGACATGGGGGTGGTCAACCTTTCAAGAAATGGCCAGCTTACACTACCTTAGAAACGATGTATCCTTTACCTCAGATTCTGTGAAAATTGCATTAATAGAAAAACAAAGGCTGTCAAAAAAGAACACAAAGGAACATCCAATACATGTGAAAAATATATTGACGATCACCCAAAATACTATGAAATATCAAGAAAGTGTTCTGTATATTCCTTTGAATCTGGTTTTAAATTACAAACATTTCAGATACAGCATCATACCAACAGTCAAACATGGTGGTGGTAGTGTGATGGTATAGGCCTGCTTTAACCATTTAGCACCTTGATTTATTGCTTATTTATTCCTTGATGTATTGCTTATCAGATCCTGAATATAAAATTGCCGACTTGGGCTATGGAACAAGAGGTTTTTGTCTTAATAGCAAAATGAAAGGAACTAGGTGATATGAATTGCTGCAGTTTGAACTTAAACTTGCTGTTCATGATGTAAAAACTCATCTGATGTGGGTAAATAAAAAAAGATAGAGGACCAATATTCCTTTAGACCTAAGGACATGATTTGTTGCCAGTTCCAGCAAACATCTAATGATAGTTGCTTTTTTGAGGTGGCATAGATAAAAATTTTGCAAGGTTAGAAAAAATTCATTTACTCATAACGCCAAGTTGGTTGGAATATTTATCTATTTTGTGTTATATTCTATAAAATTGTTCCTCTTAGAATGACATACATGATTTGCAGATTGTATATTGAATAAAAACATTTACTTAATTTGAAAAAATAAATTGTTGAGCAAGTAAAATATTTAAAATATGTGTTTACTTAAATGTAACCCTTCATCCAAATGTGCACACGGTAAAGCAGACATTATGTTGACAGTGACTGCTTATTTTATCTCAAGCAATATTAAGGTCTGTTTAAATGTTTTTGTGAGAATATTTGATTTGTGTGCTTGTAATATTTTGTTTTACTTATAAGAGCTCTCAATCAACTTTTATAAAATTCCTCAGTGAATAAATGTTATTTCATTGCTGTTGTTATAATTATAACTTGATGAATGGTATCAAATTCATTGTGTAAAACACATGTTGGTTGATTTCAACTGATATAAAAAAGATTGGGAGAAAAACAGGCAAGTGTTGCTCACACTGTTTGAAAATTAGCCTCAATCAGTTAATCAGAATAATGTCATATTAAAGCGGTAATTAAATAATTTTCTCCTCAGGATATGTTTAATCAGCTTCTGACAGAGAAAGAAATCAGAAGTAGGATGACATGAGGCAGAGATTGTAAGAAACAGAAAAGAGCTAAACAGATTGGCAATCAGCAGTGGCACCTTTGCCTTGATGAGCAGGACAAAAGCACAAACTGCAAGCTACTGAAAGGGGTGTGAAGAAATATGGTCTCCATTGCAGTAATGCTCTTTGAGCATTGATGCATGCCTACCATGTGCCACTTCACTGCACAATGTGCAGGCAGAGATAAAAGAGACCCATCATTCATATTTTA